TTTTCAGGACAGGTAAAATCCTTAAGGAATTAATTCTGTATACTAGAACTTCTATGTTACTCAATTTGTCAAGGCAATTCCTATGTGACAAACAATATTCTCCACTCTCAATCATTCATTTGTCCCCTGAACAATGGAAAATTAAAGCCCTCAGATAGACTCAAAGCTAAAGAAGTGAATGAATGGTTAAGCGAACACCTATTAAGTACAAAGCATCTAAGCAAATTCCTTCGGACTGAGCAAGTTTAGTTTTCCTCCTAAAATGGGCAGATTAGTTTTGCATTTTCTTCTCCCTTCTATGACCCTGAATTTGTCTTCAGGCAATTATCCAGCAATTGTAAAAACTCCATGAAATGACTAAAACGGAGTAAAGCTGAGACATGAGAAAATGCTGGGGAGATACACTTTGGGTGAGCAATGCTGAAATCACCCTACATAGCTCTGTAGGTCTCAGGAGCACAGAGAGGCAACAAGCCCTATGGCCCTCAATCACCTGCCTCATGCAGGGCTCTGATTTATCAAGAGCATGGAGGAGGCAAGAGATGTGAAACAATGGGGAAATAAAATATAAGACAACCAATTCACTACCAGGCCATTTAACACATAGCTCGAGACTTCTCTTTAAATGTTAGGCTCCCATTAGGACAAATGACAAATTTCACTCTTATCTATTACAACAAATGAAAAGAAGTACCATCCTCTTCACTTCATCCCAGATGTTGTAATGGTTCCTATGTAAGTGGTGAATTTCGTTTAATCTCTAACCCCTCTCTTCCACCAACACTGAATATTGTTAAAGATGTGTTTTGAAGTTACAGTTTCTGATTTTTTTCACATCTTTTAAAGAGAATGAATTTTATATCAAGAGCTACTGAGGGGTTCCCTAGACTTAATCTTCTGTCTGAAGTGTAAGTTTTTATATTCTACAAAAGAGGTGACATTGCCTTGTACACATGGAATGGTGACTAGAAGACCATTATGCAAGGAGGTTGAAGATCCACAGCTAGCTACCCATTTATCATCAACCCAGCATCCATTTCTCTTTCTTCCTTGTAAAGGGAACTCTAATTCGTTTCAGCATCCACCCCAGCATTCCTAGCTCAGGACTACATCTTTATCTACGAAAGTCATTCATGGTAATCCCACGTCTTTTGCCTATGATTGGTTTAGTCTTGAATGTGTAATGCAGTTATGATAAGGAACTCAAGACGGGAAGCCACTGAGGGTTTCTAGAAAAGGTTTCCTTACTCAAAACTCATGTCACAAGGCAGACACAATCTATTTGTCCTGCTGGATATTGTTGTGACTGGACAAGGTAGCCAGAATTTGTACAATCATTTTGTGGCTATGTTAGGAGCTGAACACAAAACCAAGGTACCAATCATGGCAGAACAGAAGATGGAAAGAACTCAGATCCTTGATGATGGCAATGAGATGCTGAACTAAAGAATCCAGGCACTGCCCTATCTTGACCCTTCTTCTCATGTCCTTTTTATTTAAACCTTCTGTGGAGGCTTTAAAATATATCAATGATTCTCTTCCTTATAAGAGATGATGCCTAAATATCCTCCCTTGAGTGAGAGCTGGACTTAGTGACTCACTTCTCTCAAATAGAATAGAGCAGAAGTGACAGTATACTATTTCAGAGACTAAGTCTTGAAAAGGCACTATGGCTTCCTCTTCACTCACTCACTTGGATTACTCACTTGGATCACTCAATGTAGGTGAAGCCAGCTGTCATGTCATGAGGACACACAAGTAGGCTAAAGAGAGGCCCAAGTACTGAGGAGCAGAGGTCACTGCCAGTAGACATGTAGATGAGCAATATTAGAAGTAGAACTTCCACCTGAGTCAAGCCTTAAGAATATTGCAGCCTACAATTCACAATAGCCAAGATATGGAAGCAACCTAAATGCCCATCAACAGACGACTGGATAAAGAAGTTATAGTTCATATAGACAATGGAATATTACTCAGCCATTAAAAATGAAATCCTACCATTTGCAACAACGTAGATGGACCTAGAGGTTATTCTACTGAGTGAAATAAGTCAGAAAGAGAAAGATAAATACCATGTGATTTCACTTTTATGTGGAATCTAAGGAACAAAAAGAACAAACTAATCAAAAACAGACTCACAAATATAGAGGACAATCTGGTGATGGCCAGAGGGGACGGGGGTTGGAAGACTGGGAGAATGGAATGAAGGGTTAAAGAAGCATAAATTAGTAGTTGATAGATGGTCATGGGATGGAGAGCACAGCATAGGGAATGCAGTCAGCATTAATGTAATGGCTAGGTGGAGAGCCAGAGGAGAGAAAGAGCAATTAGAGGGATTGTTTTATAAACTATATAAATATCTAACCAATGTACTGTATACTTGAAACTAATAAAATTAAAAAATTAAAAAATAAGAATATTGCAGCCTAAATCCTGTCTGCAACTTCATAACAGACTCTTAGATCAATCTGGCTAAGTCACTCCTAAATTTCTGACTTGTGGAAATTGTGAGCTGATATATATCTGTTGTTTTAATCTGCTACATGTTGGTAAAACTGTTATTAAACAATAGATAACAAAGACACTTTCTAAGATTTGGTTCTGTATTCTTTTCAGACAAAGGTATATTGATTGATAAAATGTTCTAAAACACTCCTTCCTAAAACCAGAAAATTGCAGGGTTCTCCATGATTTGTTTTCTTCCTTCTTTCAATGATTATATAATGTTACCCGAAACAAATAAATGTCTTTCTCACAAAGCCTTCTGAAAAAGGAGATAAGTTGTTCCAGGGCTTTACTTTCACAAGCAACTGCTGAATCCCTCTGGTTATGATTAAACCAATTACATCTCATTGTCTCCTTAGAATCAAATAGTGTTTCCCAAACTTTCTTACAGAAAAAGTATCCTGAATAATAACAGATATTCTACTCAAAAAGGACTGGGGGGAGGTAGCGATTTGGATATAGAGAGAGCATATTAAATACTTCGGAGAAATCTTTCTGAAAAGACATTTGTCTAATTTTTATTTAATCCAGAATTTCTCAAATTTAGGGTGACTATGGACTGTTCCCTCTATGTTACTACTCCCCCACCCACCACCACCACCAACAAAAATACCTATAAGCATTTCTTGGGACATAAATTTTATTCAGAACACAGGAAAACATGATTGTGGATGAGAAAGGGCTCATAACAACACACTGAATGAATGCATTAACATGAATGATCAAAATAGTTCAGCACTATACTCAAAATAACACAGCCATCTGAGTAGTTCAAAGTGTCTAAGTTTAGACTTAGATGTGCCCAATTAGTAGCAAAATAGGATCCACACATACTTTTTTCTAAAAGATTAGTACTTTTCTCCAAATCCAAACTTTCACATTAGCTTCTTCTTTTCCACCAAACAATAAAAATTTTCCCCCTCCTTTAAAAATTTTTATTTTAATATTTCAGAAGAATGTTTCCTCTTAAATATTTGGTACAAGAGGGAAAAAAACTGCTTACAGACATTTCTAAAATATAGATATCTGGTATCTAAGACCCCGCATTAGCATGCCCATGCCAGCTAAAAGGTCATATAATACATCAACCGTGTAGCCGGCACTGCCAAGGAAACCAAGCCCTCTTGACTGCCAGTGCCAGTCCCGGATTCTATCCTTCTGTTAAGACCCAAAGCCAAGTAAGCTAAGCCTCACACTCCGGAGTGTGTGGGAAGATCACTCGCAGCAGTTGATCAGGACTTGCCCTAACCAGATAAGGTCCCATAAGGTAAACGGTTCTGCCCTGGGGCTGGGCCAAATCTGACATGCCCAGCATACTTCTGACTTCTCCTTAGTATTATAACTTGGAAGGAATTTCTGTGCCTCTTGAAATCAAACCACCAACTCTTTAAGACTTCAGCAAAAATGGGATCTACAGAAACAAAAATATACAAATGTGGTATATGAGGAACCCCAATTTCCTCCTCCATCCCCATGGCCCTTTGTCTTTGATTCCTGATGCTGTCACCATGCCCACCACCAAGGAAGAGAGACTGCTTTTTTAACTCTGGTTCAAGTGAGGACACAAATGTGTTTTCTTAGTTCCCTTAGTACCAGTTAGCTATGCAAAAGAAAGTATCTGGTATCTAAAAAAAGATCCCCCAAAAGAAAAGAAATAGAGCAACTACGGAATGATCTTTGAATGATCAGGTTTCAAAAGGACAGGATTCTCATGCTATAATACACCTTGGCCCTAATGGCTGGTAAATCTGGACTCCTCCCTGGCTTCTTCTATTAGTTAACCCATTAACTGCTTAACCCATTGCCTATAAGCCTTTACTGAGAACATTACTACCTGGGCCGAGGACAGAATGAATATATTCTTTCTCACCCCAACCCATCAGCCCCTAATTGTTCAAGTTCTATGCTTTTCTCTAATATGAGAGATTCTCATCTACAGCTTTCTTAACATCTCACTTCCTAACATCACAAATCCATGAAGGTTATTGCTCAGTCCCAGAATTTCTAAGAAATTAAGGGCACCTGAACCATTCTTTTTGCTTTGCTCAAGGGAAAGATGGACATTACATGCAGACTGCATTCATAAAGCTACTGATCTAGATGCTAGTGAGGACTGAAACCTATCTTGGAAACCAGAGCGGGTCCACTGAGTGGAGTTGCACAGGACCTGGAAAGACCTAGGCTGCCTCAGCCTGTCTCCACACTCGGGCCGGACATGAGCAGCTTGGAGACAGCTGCTTGACTCTCAGAAGGAAGCAGCTGGGCTGCAGTCCACATTCGGGACCAGCCCGCTTTGCCTACTGCTTTAAGCAACGAGTTTCTCAATATCTGTTATGTGAGGCCCAACAAATATTTACCCCAGGTAGGAAGTTCTGCCAGCACAGGTAGCTGAGCAACCTGGACATAGCAGGACTGCCCTGGAAAGATGGAGAACCTCCTGAGAGAACAAGCAGCAACCCCCAGATGATGGAGGCAGTAACATCAGCCAGACTTACCTGTACAACTTTGGTGAAGCTGAAGACTACATCATCCACATGGTCAGGTGCTGCTTTGCCTGTGGGAGTTACTGTCCTGAAGGAACACATTCTGGATGGAGCCCCAAATCACAGTGAGGTGGGTGGGTAGGAGGAACACAAGAGGGTCACCTAGAAAAGAAAGAGCACTTGGGTAGGATTTTTTTGGTAGGTTTATTTTTCTAGAAGAGAACCATGGATGTACGGTATTTTAAAACACTAACTGACATTTCCTCCCCAATATTCCCCCACCTTCCCCTTTCCTACCTTGCACTCATAACTACATGGGAGTGAGGTGACAGCAGAAAGCAGAGATAAAAAGAATTATTCTAGCCAATCCTCAAGCCCAGAGGGAGAGAGTAGCTGTTTACTTGAGTATAGAAAATAGCACCTTAGAGAACATTCCAGAGATCCCCACACCCCAGCACAGTCTGAACATAGCAAAGAGCAACAATGGACTTGGAGCGAAGGGTCAGGAGCAAAGGAACAAGGAAATCTCAATGTTGAGCCACAGGGTCCAAGGACTGAGGCCCTGGGGTGAGAATGGATGTTCCCAGCAGGGGAAGATGGCTCCAGGAAAAATGCAGCTCTATCCGCTTCCACACTGTAGTACTTACTACATACATACTTTGAAATGTAGCTGTAAATTCTGAGAGGTAGGAAAATAAAGGCAGTTTGATCAAGATTAAGTTTCTGCCATCTCATTGGAATAAAATGAAAATTAAGTTTAGGGAGGAAAAATAATGTCATACTTTGTTTTAGGTGAGATTATCCCTGCAACAATTACATTAAAAATGTAGACTACAATTGTAAGGTCCACTCCTTTTTTAGAAATGTAAAATGTGATTCTTAGAAGAATACAATCCCCTTTCTATCATTTTAACAGCATGTTCCAGGCACCTGTAAATAACGTTTGTGAATAAGAGGCTGCATTGGTTTCCTAGGGCTGTGGTAACAAAGTACCACAAAGGGGATGGCTTAAAACAACAGAAATCTATTCTCTCACAGTTCTGGAGGCTAGAACTCTGAAAATCAAGGTGTCAGGAGGGCTCTGCTCTCTCTGAAGGCTTTAGGGGAGAGTCCTTCCTTGCCTCTTCGTAGCTTCTAGTGGTTGCTGGCAATCCTTGTGACTTGTAGACACATCACTCCAACCTCTGCCTTTGTCTTCACCTTCCATGGCAAATTCCCCTCCACGTCTGTCTCCATCTCTGTGCCCCTTCCTCTCTTCTTATAAGGATACCAGTCATTTTGGATTATGGGGTATGACCATTTTAACTTAAGTAATTACATCTGCAATGACCTTATTTCCGATTAAGGTCACATCCTGAGGTTCTAGGAATGACATGAATTTGAGGGGATAGGGAAGTCACTAATTAGAGAGGCCATTGCCACTCTGCCCTCACAGCTTTGTCTCAAATGTAACTTCCTATAAAGAGAGCAGAGACCAAGTGGCAACTGTTGACAGTTTTTTTACTAAAGGTTGCATAAAAAAGTAATTGAAATACAGCAAAGAAAATAAATTATAACCCTACTAGCCATGGCTACTTTCAGAGTCAGCAGCTGCAGGTCCATCCAAGTGTCTCCCTGACTAATCCAAGAGCTATTTCCTTGGGCAGGAACTAACCTGTTCCCACCAAGGGGAGTATTCTTGACTCTGTGCCCTTGGAAATCAGGCTCACCTGAGACCCCCAGAGAAATGTTTTCTTTCTTGTGGTCAAGGGTCTACCTCCTTATTTTCATTTCTTGTCTTAGGATAAGTTTCTTCATAAGATAACTGACAATAGGAATGCCTACTCCCTTCATGAGAACAGCACCTTTCACTTTCAGAGGAGAGTAGTCTTGACAGATGGACAGACAGGTAGGCAGATTAGAGCAGAGCTTAAAAATTTAACTTTAGTACATCCTGAGGTGTTTCAGTTTTAAATGGCACCAAAAGCAAAAAGAGGACTTATTGGGCAAACTTAACAGATAAATGTAACCTCCAGGAGTCCGGGGGTCCTATTTGTCTTTCTCATTGGCGTAACTTCTACAGTTAGCAGAGTCCTGAACATAGTAAGTGTTCAACCACAATTCATTGAATGGATGAATCAAAGTTGAACTGTTCAAGTCTTTCAAATGTTTTTATGATCTATTCTCCGGCATAAGGTAAAGATCATTCCTACTCACCTTTTCAAATACTAATTTGCTACATGAAGCCCTCAAAACTTACTCCCTTCTCCTCTCCAGATCTATATTGCCCAGAGAATGAGCATCAGCTTAAGACACAGCTATCTAACTGCATACAGAAAAAAGAAACATTAAACATCCTCCCTCCCCAAAAAGCAATAAAGTTTCAAGAGACATAGCTCTGGTTAAAGATAAAGCAACCGTGTAAATCATAAAATAGAATTCCTGGGTAGCTGAAGAACCCATTTACTTTCCCCTCCAAAAAGGATAATTCGCTCCCAGGTCTCCAACTCTATCTAGAAATGTTTAAAAGGTACTTTTCTTGCTTCTCTATTCCCCATCCTTGTGCCTCATCTGCTCCTCCTGTCCTACCAAGTAGCTCTTCATCTGGTTTGGCACCAGCCTCTCACTCACGTCCCTTGCAGAGTCACTGGGGCCAACTGTCCATGGCTCTGATTCACCTCATCGTGTGTTTCAGACTTAAGCTGGCCAAGGCTGACCTCTGACTTTTCCCCTGATTTTGACTTCTTAGCCTTGCCTTTTGAAATTCTCCTTGTTCTGACGTCTACACACTTTTCTGGCTTCCCTGTCTTGCTCGTGCAATAGAACCTCAACATCTATCTGCCCCTCTGTCCTTTGATTCCTTTCTATTTCAGCTTTCCTATGTAGTTTCCCCTGACCTTGTGTCCATTCAGCCCTTCTTAGATTACCAGTGACCTTGACTGTCGTCTCTGAATTTTTGAAGTAACTCCTCCTTGGCTATCCTTCCCTAGGGAACTGGACTTCTGCTTCCCTAGTATATGCCTTGCTGAGCTCTCCACTCTCTTTTCTCTATTCCTTTTCTGTGATACAAAGACCTTCACAAACTGATCCTTATGTTACTCTCCCAGTTCTCCTGTTGCTCACAAAAAGGTCATTAGATGGATCACCAGATTACTGACTACCACTAGATAAACATAAACCAAAGCTGTCTAGATCTATACTGTGAGAAGTTACTGTCAATACTATCTTATTTTTATTTTATTTCATAGTAGATTATATACCCTTTAGTTCAATTTTAAAAATTGATCTTAGCATTCAGACAAGTGAAATTTGAACTTAAAAAAAAATTAAGTTCATTTCCTCCTTAAGAAAGAGCAGTATGGCACAATGTGTTCTGTAAGCACATGGCCTTAGTTGTATCTTAAGTCTATCCTTACTAAACGTATGACCTCTAGAGCAAGTTACCTAACGTACGCCTCATTTTTCTTGTCTACAAACTGGGGATAGTACCATTTCCACCTCAAAGTCCTATTGTAAGGTTTAAATACCTCAAACATGTAAAAGGTTTGGAAGAAAACTTAGAGCATAAAAAGTTTTTGGTCAACACCAGCTAGTTGTTGTTGTTCCTGACTGAAGACTCAGTGTACTGCAGTCATCAGTTCAGAGATCACCTATGAACTTTAACAGTACTCTCAGAACCTCAAGAATGATGATGATGTCTCTACAAGACAGTGAAGAAGTAGGCTCTTTACGGGGCCCAGCTAGTGCGGCATGCGGTTATTCCTCTTAAATCTTTTCTAACGACTCAAGAAGCACCTGTTGCACTGGTATTCGAATCTAGACACCACCCGTGGGAAACAATGTCAGTGAGTACTTCTCCTCTCTCCCTCGTTCCTTCTCTCTTTTTCCTGTGTGTTTACGTTTCTACCTGAAGGTCTGATTGATACGACTGTTGTAGTTCTAACGGGAGCAAGTCTTTTCAAATCTGTAATAGTTGTGGTCAAGGAGAAAATTTATTTCAAAGCACTTACAGTTAAATCAGAGATTCTGTAGTATGAACTGTGAAAGACACTAGGTCATGTGTGGTTTTATATAAAGTTTTGGACATTTAAAGTATAATACATGAGAAACTTAAGCCTGGCTTGCAATATTTGTATTATCATTGAACCCAATTAAGAACAGAATAAACATTTTGACTGAGGAAAAAAAAAAAAAAAGTAACCCTGCTGTCATGCCTTACAACATCTGGAAGAGCAGTAGCCTGGATCAGTCCATCATTAGAGAAGCTCTTACTATCTTACTCATAGTAAGTATGATCTTGCTATATTACTCATAATCTATCTGGGAGAGATTCATATTTTCTTTCTTCTTCAGACTCTTCTCCTCCTCCTCCTTCTCCTGCTTATTCTTTGGTCAACAGCACCTAGAAATTACCCTCTCATTCTTGGTTTCCTTCCTTCTCTACCCCTTTCCTCACAACTACACAAATACTTTAATTCCTGGCAAAAAGTCCAGGGATCCTCGCATCCTCCAGCATGGAACACCACCTAGCAAGCAAACCAAGTTCCCTACTAAGGCTGATGACTTCCCATAGCATACATCTGATGCATGAGGTAGGCTAAAGGGACAGAGATTCCGGCCCTGCTCCCTTTAGAATTATAGAGTAGGAAAAATATAAGGAGCTCTCATTTCTTACAGAGACATGAACATCATAACCGAAGTACCAATATCCTTTTAAAGATATTTTAAAGCAATCAGCATTTTTTCCTGGTGATACAGTTGATTCTCATTATTTGTGGATTTGTTTTTTGTGAATTTGTCTACTTGGTAAATTTACTTGTAATCCCCAAATAAATACTCACAGTACTTTTGCGGTCATTAGGGGACAAGCACAGAGTGCAAAAAATTTGAGTTGCCTCATGTGCCAGTTCCCAGCTGAGGTCGAACAAGGCAATGTTTTGCCTTCTTGTTTCAGCTCTCATACTGTAAACAAGTGTCTTTTTCATGATCCCTTTAGTGCACATTTTTCACATTTTTGTGCTTTCTGTTGGTGATTTCACCAACAAAATGGTCCCCAAGTGAAGTGCTGAAGTGCTATCTAGTGTTCTTGCGTGCAAGAAGGCTGTGATGTGCCTTAGGGAGAAAATACATGTGTTAGATAAATTTCTTTCAGGTGTGAGTCATCGTGCTATTGGCCCTGAGTT